GATAAACTCAAAGCCTTTATATTGAAGTGGATGCCACTTGAAGATATACTCATAAGTGAAATAAAGCAGACACACATGTGTAGATATCATATAGTTTCCCTAGTATAAGAACTCGAAAGAAGAAATACAAATAGAAAAGTATAATACAAATAAATGGAAAGCAGGATCTTGAGGACTAACTAATCAAGAGAGGGAAAGGAGAAGAGCTAGGAAACATGACAACATCAAGCCATACAGTTATATGTAGAAGATGGACAAGGCAATGATCCTGAGAATCTCCAGAAGATTTTTGAATCTAGCAGTTAATTGGAAAGATTCCCACCCTGACTAACTATATATACTGATACCTGTGAACTAAGCAACTGCACTGAAGATGGTAATCTGTAATAGTAGTTTCATGCTTGGAGTACCTGTCATTTTGGTCTTCTGAATATGGGCTGCTTGTCACGACATGCTAGTTGCTACTATGCTGTCTCTCGGGTAGATGACTGTTGAAAAAGAAGGGGGTGGTGAATGAAGGCAAGAGATAGGAAAAGGAATATTGTGGGACTGTCCTGCTTCAAGGTTGTATATGGTTAGATTTTTGGACATACGTGTAAACATAAGAAGTATATAACTCTTTATGCCTATTTTTTAAAATATAATTTTTAAATGTTTTTTCATCATAGTCTATATGGACTTAAAGTTCAACATATCAATACTAGATGAAAAATACCTGTTCCATGTTATGCCTAAGATGTTTGATATGCAGACAGATAGTGAGGTTAAGCTTAACAGCCTAGGTTGTATGGTAATAACAATAAGCTTGTCTTCTGGATGGTTAACAACCTAAGTTTGCAGATCAAAATAAGAGAAAAAGGAGGGCGGCAAGGAAACCCAACATTTTGGCCCTAACCTTCCAAGGTCAGTTAAGACTCAGGACATATGAGAACTTATACTATAACGTCACGTAACTCGGCAGTGTCCCAAATTTTCTGATCAAGGAGATTATGAGGCCAAAGAGGAAAGTGATCGATGATGTAGAGTGTGCCTAAGGAGAGTCACATGGAGAGAAAACATTCTTTCAGGCTTTCACAGAGAGCACATTGGCCAAGCAAAGGCCGTGACTCATCCACATGGCTGACACAGACAAAGGTTCTACAATCAGAGGTACAGGATCTCAGCATAAATCGTGAGGGGATTTCACTGACCTTATCAGACCCAAAAGATACAACTCTTGTTGCATAGGTCCTGCTTTACCTTGGTCTTAACCATCCAGCAGAAAAGCATAAAAACGAAGTATAATAAGTAAAGCCATGGTGTTATGTTGAGCTGTAGGGGACTCAGGTCAACAATTCCTGACATTGCCAGTGAAATGGAAGACCCAATACTATTATGGACTACTGAACTCTTTTAGAATATTTTGCTGAGTTTACACACCTATAATATTTAAATGATGGAACTTAACAAAAAAAGGATATACAGATGAATGTCCATTTTGTATCTGTGTATTCAAAGTGGTTAGGATAGATATATAGTTACATTTTCTTAATGAATAGAGGGATTTGTTCTAATGGTGTTTGTAAATAGGATATAATGTCCGCATCTTGTACAGCAATTAACCACTAAGAAGAATGTATGCAGTGTGTTAGTTATTGAAACTGTCCTAGCGATTTGATTTGAAACTGTCTCATTGCTATTTGTTTCTCAATAAAATTATGGAAAAAAAAAAAAAAAAAAAAGAGGGAACCAAAGCCCGAGTCAACTCTGTGAATGGCAACAGCCTCCCTCCAGCTGCTGGGCTTAGCTCCAAGCACAGGCCAAGACCGCTCGCCCCAAAGGGAGGTGTGTCCTCGGGCACCACTCCTGCACCTCCAGGGCCATCCGGCTTCTGCACCCGCTGCCAGCCAGTACCTTGAGGGGCTCATGGATAGAGAGCCCTGGAGGAACACCTAGAAAAGGCCGGGGTCTGTCTTCCTAGTCCACTTCTGCCATGTAGGGATACAGGAGGCCTACTGGTGCCACCTGTAGCAAGATGCAGTACATGCAGCAGGCTGCTCCAGGTCCTGTTTCACATGGGTACTAGCAGATTTCTCCTACACAGGCCAGCTACTACCCAGTTCCAACAAGCCCAGAGCCAGCACCCGGCCAGCTTCCAAGGGAACCCCTCCTGGCCCCTGGCAAGCAGCTGCTGTCCACCAGCTTGGGCCTACCACTAGGCTACAACCCCTGTGACACCTTTCTTTGCTCCAACAGCGAGTGGGCGATAGGGGACACAGGCCTGGGGGTCCCGAGGATTTCAGGGACAGCCACAGAACAGGTGACAGCCACAGTATGTGAGCTTCACAGAGGTGCACTTGCCTCACAGTGTAGGTGGCTGGGAAGCTCATGACGCAAGGGCAGGACACAGCTGCAACTGCAGAAGGGGATGGGGAAGCAGGCTCAGGAACAGGAGGAGCCACGCTCTGCAGCAGCCCTCCCAGCAATGAGTGCTGTCCCAAGAGAGAAGCCCTCACCCCCGTGGGACAGCACTAGTCCTTGCAGAAGGAACAAGCCCAAACCCAAACACCTCCAAGGGACCGTGGGGGACAGGACCTCTCCCAACCACAGCCACCCTGTCCCAGGGTCAGGCACACACTTCTGCATCACAGTGGACATACAACGGCATCTCACCAGGGCTGGAGCTTCACTCTCCCAGAGAAAACACACCAAGACTTTCCGCCCTCCTGGGGCACGGGGCCACAGCCACGCATCCAGACACCTTAACAAATGGCCAAGCACCTACCCATTCTTCTAGATCTTTCACGCTTACCATCACGAGATCGTCTGTGATACCCTCTCATCTCTAGTATCTCTATGGTCATGTTTATAAAAGTCCCTTCAACGAGCTGAGCGGTGATGGCTGTCTTCTCGTTTCCTGAGTCTGGAGGGCCAGCAATTTCCTCTTCAGAAGGCAGCAGCTCTGGGCTTTCTTGACACAGTGTCCTGGCTGGAGTCTGGCTTCACCTGGCTGGCGTGTCCAGCTCTGCTAAGGCCCAGCCGCTCCCCCTCTTCAGCTGCTCTCGACCTCCCTGTGGCAAAGTGGGACTGTTCGGTTTTCACGCGCACACCTTCCCGACAGGGATTCGCCAGGACATGACCAGGCTGGGCTCCTGGTGTTCATACACGACTGCCGTTCTAGGACAAATGTACTGATCACCACTGTCCCACACTGGTATGGCCGTGGCTTTTTTCTTGGACAACTTACTCTCCTCAGTTAGGTTCCCCAGTTTTCTGGGGAGTCAACCTTGGCTCCTACCTATGGCTTTTGTCCTATGCTAAGGAGGCTGCACAGGAGTTGGATAATGACTGCAGCAGGGGTCTAGGTAGAGCCCCGAGCCGTAGCATGGGGATCTGCCGTCCCAGTGTCCCATGCCCCCGCTGTCTCCTGAGTGTATGCTCTCGTCAATCCCTAGCAGTGTGTGCAGAACCGAGTGCTTACCACATACCAGTAAGTCTGTGTGACTTAATGCACACATAGATGATTTCCCTTCAAAAACTCAGATGTAGGAGGGGCTGGGGAGATGGCTCAGTGGAATAAGCGCTTCCCTGGCAAGCGCAAGGGCCTGAGTTCAATCCCAGGTTCCACCAAAAAAAAAAAAAAAACCTCAGAGGTAAAGGTCCACCTCTCAGTTTCTCAGGCCGCGCTGGAAAACTCCACAGCCACTCTGCTTCCTGTCCCTTCTCCCGAAGTTCCCCAGTGCTCTGACATATCACGCCAAAGTGCTTTCCCCTTCCCAAGCCAGCGTTTTACCTCACTGCAAAGCCAGAGCCCCCATTCTTAGAAATCGCGCTGTTCCCTGGCCCCATTGCCCAGCTGTTCCCTGGCCCCATTGCCCAGCGTGCACAGTGCATGGTCACTGCTTTGCCACATGCAGCAAAGCTATCTCGCCCCCATTTCTCTGAGGCTGGAGATATAGCTCAGAGAAATCTGCTTCACTGCCTGCCAAGAGTGTTTTACATGCCAAAGGCTGAACAGGGCACACCCTTTTGGTCTTCACTGGGTTGAGGAGCTGCAACCATCCAGCTGGGGGGTGGGGGGGGGCTAGTGTTGAGGGGAAGGATAACCTACTTTTTTAAAAGGCCGCCTCCAAAGCTGTCTCCCCCTCAGCTGCTTCCAGAAGGACCCGAAACTGCCAGTTCCAGTGCTTTTGGCAACTCGGATTCTCACCTGTTCCCGTTTTTTCCTATAATGCAATGTTCTTGGGTGCTTCTAAAATCAGTATTCATCTATTTCCTTGAAAGGTGTCAAATTTTGTAGCTATTTTTAGTTGTCCTAGTGTTTGGGCTTTAAAAAAAAAAAAAAAAAAAAATCCTGTCATTTCAATGAAACTTTAAGAAGATTCAATGGAAAAAGACCAGGTTCAGCCCCGTGGCTGCTGGCACAAGCGGCCTTTTTTCTGAGACTCCCAAGTGCTCACCCCAACTGCAGAGCCCTGCCGTGGCAGCTGGAGGGCACTGACAGCAAGGGACATGGCGGCCTGGCCACTCACAGCCAGGCTGCTGGAGGCAGAGCCTTCCCCACAGGAGAACAGAAGGCTTTGAGGTGTGAAGGTGGCACCTGGAAAGCTGGCAGGGAGACACACCGGGAGCCACCAGGAAGGAACAGGTGCCTCCAGTCCGCTCATTCTCCCCTCACCCTCCCTGCCACCCAAGTCACAATAACCCAAGGGCCACGAGACCTGCACACTGCCGCCTGCACTGCCGTGTCACTGGCTGGAAAACTGGGATAGGGCTCAACTCTGCTGGACCAGATACCACAGCCACTCTGAAGGGGGCCATCAGGCAGTGTGAGCTTGTGTGACATGCTGGGTCCCCGGGACCCAGAGCATCAAGAGGACGGGAAGGCATGTGGAAAGCCCCGCTGTCTACTAGCCAGTGTCCACAGAGCTAGTCCCTTCTTGCCCATGCACACCAAGCTTTCGCACTCAACCCTTCTCGACACTGAGAACACAGACCATAAAAAAAGGCACTTGGGGGAAGAGAGAACAAAAGCATTTATTAAAGTTGTAACAACAGACCAAAAATATCCATCACACTTTAGAGAGCTCCTTATTAGGCAGAGGGCAGAAACAGTGCTGCTCACAGCCTGGCAGGGAAACGCGCTCCTCACCTCAGCAAGGGGAAACAGGGTCTGTCTTGTGGCAGCACCCCCTGCAATGTGCCCCCAGCCATGCAGGCCCCAGTATACATTCGCCTTGCACAAGCAATACCCAGCAGAATCATGAAACTGGGCAGCCACAGCAGGCACAGCTGGGAACCACTGGCAAAAGGACAGCAGTGAGCTGACCCCCACACACAAGAGCTGAGTTCATAAGCGTCACGCTTACATAGTTTATGCACAAGTATACGTTACAGGGTGTTGTCTAAGAGACCTTGAAATCAAACAATTTAGGAAAAACGGAAACCTGTGCATCTGGACATGGGGTGACCCACATTAAGGCAACAGAAGTCCCCACCTCCCTCCCTCAGCCCTCATCCAGTCATCAGCCCGGGCACCCCAAGGCTCCACTCCTTCGGTGGGACTGTCCTGGGATGCACATGGGGCCCACTGCCTTTATACATGCCTATCAGTTGCTTCACTGCATAGGCAGGGAGTGAGACTCGGAGGATGAGTGAGGGCTGGATGGGGAGTGCCATGGTCAGCAGAGATACTGCCAGGGGTCAGTGTGTACTGGTGGACAGCCAGACCAAGAAGCCAGTCTGGGGGCTGAGTGGCAAAGGGTGGGAAGGCCAAGTGGGGCAGCAGGTGCTTGCAGTCCCAGTTCAGCCAGCCATCCCAGGCCCACGTAGGTTCCACGGGCCCATGAGAGAGCACAGACCTCATCAGCTGCCTCTCCTGTGATGAAGAGGCCGGTCAGCGGGCCCAGGCAGGGCTGTCTGCACCAGTCCTCAGAGCTGTTCCTGTGCTACAGGAAGTGGAAATGCTGCCGTACCCTGCCCAGGGAGCAGCACTGGCACCTCCCAAAGCAACTGCACTGCGCCACCCCTGTCAATGGCCATCTAAAAGTGGCCACTTTTGTACCACACGAGAAGTAAAATCAGTGCCTGTGAAAGTATCAGTAACAGCACTGCTGAGGCCCACAGAGTCACATGAGGAGGAATGTACAGCAATTCTGCCAGGACATGGTGCTGAGCCGGGGTGAAGGACGCTGGCAGCACCACCGCTCTCCACCAGACCAACCTCACAAACCACTTCCACATGGTGCACAAGCCAAGAAAACAGGAGGGCAGCCTTCCCAGGGACCCAAAGCACCTGCACTGCTTCCACATGGCATAAGGGAAGACAAAAAAGAAAAGTGAACTATAGTAAGAGGCAGGCAGCTGGCAAGCTGGGGAGGACCATGTGGATCCCTGGGCCTGCAGTGGCTGAGAACAGGGTAGGAGGCCAAGGACTGAGAAAGAGAAGAGGTCAGGATCCATAACAGTAGACAGCAGACAGCAGGCAGTGGGCAGCCATGCCTTCTTGCTTGTGGTTACTTGCTGAGTAACTCTGACTGCAGGAAACATTTGCCACGCTGACCTCCACTGCACCTGCCACACACGTGGGCCACGATGACTACAGCCACCCACGAGGCCATGGTCCCCTCCCAGCCCTCCCAGCACCTCACAGCCTGAGGTGCTCTCCACACCTGCCCTCTTCCTGGCCCGTGCTGGCTGGATGCTGCACTTTGTTCCGTGAACTTTCATGTGAAGAAAAAGTCATTTAAGAAGAGAAAGGAAACACAGCGATGGCACTAAAACCTGGTAAGAGAGACACAGCTGCCACTGAAGAGCGGCGAGCTACCATCTTAATAAGCAAACACATCTTGGTTCAACTTACCTAAATTCAAAACACCAAAAAGCAAGGCAGAATATAAGTAACTACATAAATAACATGAGCGAAGAAATAAATAACATAATTGAAATGAAAACTCAGTATGTCTGGTCCCAATGGGTTTCTGGAAAGCCATCTAAAAGCCCTCACCCAGGACTCCAAAGCTCAATCCCCAAGGATCACTGCCACCCACTCGGCCTGCCTGGCGCCTCTGTTCACAGCAGCCAAGACCCGGCCACAGGACTGCTCAGTGGGCAGCAGCTTCCCTGGGAGTGACAACACACAGACACCCAAGAAGGTCCAGCCTCAAGGCCACCTGGAGGCAGCAGCCACAGCAGGCACCAGACTTCCTCGCTCTGTGGGCCACAGGTACACAGGGCTTGCAGCCTGTTTTCATAAACGCCCCCACAGACAGACTTACTTCCAGTCCTGCAATGTCTTTAACAAATGGAAACAAAGAAGGCTTAGTAAAAAGAGTAGCACTAGGAGAAGGCAGAATCTCTGCCACTAAAACTGATTCAGAGCTGCCAGCTGTTAAGCTTAAAACAGGAGTCTGAACAGCAAAGTTACTGGGATTCTAAAATCTGAGCAAAGAGGCAATGAACATGTCCAGCAGACCTGCAGAGGCACATGCCAGCGGACAGCTTCCAGCCTCCAGCCTGGTGCATTCCCTCTCAGATGCATCCTCTCCCCAAACAGGCCTGGGTACGGCCCAGAAATGTGGACAGAGCCAGGCCATTCCTCTCTGTACTGTGGAAGTGGCCTGAGACCTCAGAGCCAGCCCAGCGGGCACAAGGGGGTACAGCGCCACCCTCAGCTTCCTGGTCCGTGCAGGGAGCCCACCAGGTGCAGGCTGTGCAGCAAGCCCAGATCAAGCCATCCCGCCTGGGCAGGCCCTGCAGAAGGCCCGGGAAGGCAGAGTGCATATCCCACTATGCAGCTCACCTGGAGGAAGCCCATTCAGTGGGCAGTGTGAAGAAAGCTGCCCAGAGTCCCCCACAATACAGAGTCTATATTGTGAAACAGGAGAATCCTCTCGGGTGATGAGGGCCCCCAGCGTGGTTGGGGCCCCATAGGTGGCTCAGCCCTCCTGAGAATCCTTCCCTAACTCCTCAGAGCTGCTGGCCCACCCAGAGTCCAAGTCTGGTTCTCGGCCTTCTCCAAGCACAAGGAACATGCCACACCCCTCTCCTGGCCACAGTGCCCTCATCTTGCAGCCACTGTCCTCTCTCCCATGAAGTTCTCCTGATCTCAGGAGCTCAGCAGCGACCCCAAGCCCACCAGCCCCACTCGTCATTGAACAACACCCCACTGAATTACCCACCCTTCTGAATTGCCACCCTCACAGCCGTCCGTGCACAGCACCTACAGAGGCAGGTGTGAGCTCAGTGTCCCAGGGCAGCACTGCAGGACACTTGAAGGCCAAGCACTGCCTGGCTGGCAGCCATACAAAAGAATTCTTAATGGATAAGAGTATCTGTGTAATTTCTACAAATTATGTTTCTCTAATGGCAAAGACAGTCTAAACCTAGCTTTGAATCTGATTCTAAAGCACACCTGAAGTTCAAAATCACCACAAATCCACAGCCCTGAGACTTCAGCCACAACGCAGCCTGAGCAGGCACTGAGGGCGGGCACTGCTGATGACCTCAAAGCTGGCCACACAGCCCTGGCCTGTGATGACAGCTTGCCTCTTTCCCCACACCCCAGGGAAAACCCTGACTTCACTCCTCTCACCAATGCCAGGGGCAGCTACTGAGACACTCAGATCCTGACAGTGAAGTCAACCAATCGCAGCTGCCTCATCCACTGGACACCAAGCAATTACAGGCACCAGCACCCCAATCCCCAAGGGCCAACTGAGCTCCTGTTTTAGAGTAAGGGACGGATAGAAGACAGCACCTCACTGTCCTCTAGTCCAGCCACACTGGCAGTGAAGGCTGTGGACCGGTCTGAGCCTGGAGGCAGTCACGTACTGGCCAGCTCTGTGTGGGTCTCCTCAACCCACCCGCATCTGGAGCTCCCTGAAGTAAGTGGTAGGGAACTCACAACACCTGCTGGTGTGACACAAGGCGCAGGAGTACACAGACAGGTGTTGCACTGCAGAGCTCTCTGCTTGTGACCTCCACAAACTGAGGCATCACCAACAGTCTATGCAGCCAGAAAACCACCCTGGATGGAAGACAGGGCCCCCAAAGAAGGCCGAACAGCAGGAAGGGGTACAGGTGTGCATGTGTTTGTGTGCACATGCGCAAGTGTGTACTGGACACGCTGCTTAAACCCAGTAATGGGAAAAACTAGCCAGCTCAGGAACTGCACTGCTAGTCCCTCCTTTTTGTCCGTAACCAAAACTCCTTCTTCATTTAAGTATCAGGTTTAATAGAACAATTAAATTGCAAAGTAGAAAAATAAATAAAAGCACAATTCTAGAAAGTGCTAGGAGTCTTCCCTACTGGGGACATCAGCAGCCCTCCAGCCTGGTAAACACTTGCATGCATGTCAAGGTCCACTTCAATAATAAGCAACGGCCAAAATCCCCAACACAGATACTCAGGAAAAATGAAATCAAGTTCTGTGTGAGTCTCTCAGCGACAGCGACCCAAGAGCTGTGCACTGGCCCAAGCACCTGAGGAGGAATTCCAGTCCACGGGAAAAAGCCCTTTCCTCTTCAGCAGCCAACAGTCAGGCAGCAGCGGCAGGACACGGTGCACAGGATGCAAGCAGGGGCGCCAGCATTTGTTGTGGTCACCTTCTTCCTCACCTCAATCTGCTGCTGTACCTAATTCTACTCATAAAGTAGAAACTTTTTAATGGGGTCCGGCAGAGGCAGCGAGGGGATCAGACGAAGTCGGCGTTTGCCAAGCGCACTTCTCACAGCCACACGGCACATATGTAGCAAGGTCCTGGGAACACCTGGAGAGCCATGGAGAAGGAGACAGAAGAGTCAGGTTAATGCCTGTCCTCACTGGAAGGAAAGGCACATGTGCCAAACAGAACTGCACTGGTGCTCACCATCAGGGTGGCAGTGTTGTGGCACAGCTGGTTAACCAAGGAGCTGCCTTTGTGACAGCATCTCCTCCCTACACTATGCTTAAGGACCCAGACAAAGAAACAGGACCTGGCCTAAGAAAGCCTGCAGGTTTGAGCAGCTAACCCTCGCGCTACCCATGGCCCAAGCTCCAAGGGGTCCAGGGTGCAGACTAACAGCCCTCAGTGGGAGCAGCCTGATGACCGGACCTCAGGTTAGATGACACTGCCAAGGGCCTACTTGCCAGCTGGAGCAGAGGATGACACTTAGTCGTGACTGTGTCCGGTCCCGATTGCAGCAAGGTCCCCACTATCATAAGCCAACTACTTTTGCAGGAGCTAAAGAATACATTTCATCGAGTAAATCCAGCAACAAAAAGTAAATGCAGCAACAAAAATGCACAGAAGCTAGAGGTTAGGGTCTGCACAGGGCCCACAGGACCCAGGCAGGACGTAGAGGTGCAAGGTCACAGAGGACACACACATCTCTCCTGAATCCCAGAGGATCCTGGTAACGTGGTCATGCTAAGGGGAAGTTCCAGGACTGCTTGACAGCTCAGTGGACTAAAGCACCTGCTTCAGCAGAGCGCAGTGGCCAGGGTTTGATCCCCAGTGCTCCATGCTGGACTGCCCGCAGGCACGGACATGGCAATTGAGACTGGGCGTGGTGGTGCATGCCTGTAATCCCAGCACTTGGGAGCTGTAAACAGGAGAATCACTATGATTCTGATCTACGTAGTAAGAGCCTGAATACCCTGTAGACCCTTCCCTAAATACAGAAAAAAAAAAAAAAAAAAAAAAAAAAGGGGGGGGGGTGGTTTCCAACTTTCCTGCTATTGATTAATCCTTAACAAAATCTTTCTATACAAGTAAGCAAAATATGGGTTTATTCTAACCAAAATCAGACACATCACACAAGCCAAAGTCACGGCATGTGAGTGCGCCTGAAGGGAAGGAAGGAACCACAGAAACAGCCTGGAGACTGCACAATGTATCATATCAAGTTAGTCTCTAAGCCTCTGGGGCCACACAGTAGAGCAAAGTGTGAAGAGAAGATGATTCCAGGAACTCTGGGAATATACATGTACTTCTACAGACTGATACCAACTCTGGGTATCAGGCACTGCAAAAGGCAAGACCAATCTGAACAGCCATTTGGGAAAACTGGGAGTTCTAAGAGGATTCTGGCCAAGTGTGCATTAGCTGGGTTGTTTTCACTCCTACCATATCTTGGTCATTCCATCAGTCCTGACAAACTGCAATCAGAGCTGAACACCGCCCACTTACTTCTGGCCTCTTTGAAGACCTCCAAGGCCTCGGGGTCCACCTTCCTTCTGCCTCTCAACTCTGTGCTCAACAATTCCCACTTCACCAGGTTCAGGTTGGCTCCAAACTCCACGAGCAGGCTCACGAAGGCCGCCTCACAGCCGTGACGCAGCACAGCATCCATGACACAGCCAGGGGAGCCCCTGTAGAACTCCTGTGTGTTGACAGGGCCATTGCAGTTGAAGTCAGGGTTCGCCCCAGCCTGTAGGAGCAGCCGGAAGCACTGCAGGTTGTGGTAGGCCGCACTGATGTACAGGGGACAGACCACCAAGGAGGTGAGACGTCGTGAGAAAGGGGGCCTGATGTCAGGAGTCAGGTGGTGGTTAACGTCCACATCAGCCCCATACCTGCAGGAGAAAGGAACATCAAGCCTGGTGAGCACCAACCTCAGTCCACCTGGTGGCCCACCCTGCACTTAGCAGGTTCTGTATTAAAGATATGAATAATTGTGGACCAAAAATATTTAGAGGGCCAGCCAAATAGCTCAGTGGATTAAAGCACCTGCAAGCAGGCACAGGAGCCAGGGACTCAAACCCCAAACCTGCCGTGCCAGCCCCACCTCCTGGGCATGCCGAGACATCAATTGAGACTGGGCATGGTGGCACGCACCTGTAATCCCAGCTCTTGGGAGGCTGTAAACAGGAGAATCACTACGAGTCCGATCTAGTAGTGAGACCCTGAACACCCTGTACTTCCATCTGAACCCTTCCCTAAAATACACACACACACACAAAAAGGAAAAAACTCTGTACTGAACCTGCAGAGTCATTCTCTGGACATTCCCTAGGCCACACAGCCTGACAGTTATTTACACAACATCTGCATTAGATTAGGTCTGATAAGCAATCCAGAAACACTTTAATGTACAGGAGGTTCTACGAGTACAGGTTCTCTACACTACTACCCCATGTTTTGTAAGGAGCCTGGGTGCCCTCCAACAGTCCTGAGGAGTCCTGACACCTTTCTCCCACATGGAGGGATGACTAAAGCTTCACTACTGCCAGCAAAGCAGGCGACATCAAGAATGAGGAGTCCGCTCATACTTGCAGACTATGTTCCACCAGGCACAGAATGAATCCCCCACTTAGGGAGCTGAGGCAGGAGGAGTGTCCCAAGTTCAAGGCCAGCCTGCACTAAATAGTAAACTCAAGGCCAGCTGGGACTACATAGCAAGACCCTGTCTCAAGAAAACAAAAACAAAAAAAAAACCCAGTCATTCCAAGACTGCTCAAACTAGTGTACAGAAAAAGAGTGAAAATGTCCCAATTTATCTTATGATGAATTAGCATATTAATCCCAACACATACCCAAAACCAAACCAAAAAGAAAAACTACCAACTATTTCACTTCTGAATATCAATTTAAAAGTCTTCCATAAGGTAGTAGCAGAGAGAATCTGAGTATGTACCAAGCTGAACACATACCAAGAAGGCCATGGGCATGACTGGGGGGGGGGGTCCTTCTGGTATCAGAAATTCTACTGGCACAGCTCATCAGATGAGAGGCACTAACCAGGAAAGCTCTGATCTCTGATCCTCTCTACAGACACTGGAAGAAAGGCTCAAGACTAAACTCAACACTTTCACATGATTAAAAATAAAGAAACAGGGCTGGTGAGATAGCTCAGCAGTCTAAAGCGCCTACTTAGGCAAAGGCTCAGGACTGCAGTTCGATCCCCGGCACCACATGCCTTGCCAACCACACCCCCAGGGGGGGCTGAGTTGGTCACAAAAAAAAAAGGAAACAGAAACTGATGGCTACCAGTGTCTGGAGTCACCAGGGTGTTAAGTGTGTCCCTGTCCTCACATCTTCCCTCCTCTGAACACCTGTCCCACAGACTTCAGCAATGCTGTTAAGCGAGAGAGCAATCTGATCAGTGAGGCTGGAGAAAAAGAAGAAAAACATTCCTCTACTCAAAGAGTACACAATGCCTGCAAAGGCCTAACCAAGCCATGGAAAAGTAACTAGCAATGACAGAATTTAAGCAGCAGGTTGAGCAAGGCATGGTGGCTCATGCCTATAAGCCCAGTATTTAGAAGGCTGAAGCAGGAGGATCACCACAAGTTCAAGACCAGCCTAAGTGACACAGCAAGTTCAAGGCCAGCCTGAACAGCATAGTGAGACCCTGTCTCAAAATGCCAAAAAAGCAGCTGGGGAGATAGCTCAGTAGAATAATCGCTTGCCTGGCAAGTGCAAAGGTCTAAGTTCAATCCCCTGTTCCACCAAAAAAAAAAAAAAAAAGGCCAAAAAAAAAAAAAAAAAGTAGCAAGTTGAAAAAATGTTGTTTTCACTCACGCATAAAAACAAAAACAGGGCTGGAGAGATGGCTCAGTGGTCTAAAGCACCTGCTTGGAACAAGCTTGGCAAAGCACAGGGACCGCGGTTCAATCCCCCAGCACCACATGCCAGCCAGCCGCGCCCCCTGGTGGGCTGAGCTGGCCACACACGCGCGCACACACACATACACACACACACACACGCAATAAATAAATGTTAAAAAAAATAAATAAAAGGCTATAAAAAAAAATAAAAACAAAAACAAATTTAACAAGGTGGAAAAGAAGATCCTTTTATGAAAACAAAATATATGATACATTCTGGCATAAACATCACAATAAAGGCCCACAGTTTGTAGAAAGAAAAATGATAAAATATACTAAAGCTACAAAAGCAGGCCTAAGAAAAAAGACATACCAAAAATATGGTAAGAAGACTCAAGGAGCTACAAAGGCAAATTTCCCTAAGCCGATCTCATAAACAAAAGCACCATCCCTGACAAAGCCCACTACACATAACATCACTGGAGCTCAGTGAGCTGACTACAACACCATAAGGAAGCAAAGCAACCGTGGGGAGAGAAGCTCACTCCTCGGGCCACAGGAGAGGACAGATGGTGCTGTCACCGGACAGCACAAGGGCGCACTGGACATAAATGCACAAATGAAAGACATGAGCTGGGGGAACAAGACACACACTGGCTACACAGCACCTCCCACAGGACACAGATGAAAGTGGTGGACCGTGCAAAGCCCCAGCACCAACCTCACTAAAGGAGCAAGACCTCGGGCGGTGGGGAGACTTCTCAAGACCTTGGATAGAGTTGCGGAGACAGTAGGCACTGTTGCTCTGAGTACACACTGGGCGTCGACAACAGGCCCAAGCAGACTCACAAGTCCTGTCATCACTTGGATTTCCTAGTACGCAGTTTTGTTAGGGTTTAGATCTATAACTATTAAGTCACCCCAGAGCTCACACACTCATAGGTGAGGCCCTTGGAAGGTAGCTGGATTACAGGGACTTCCAGCTGGTCAAGGACTTCAGGCTGGCAGGCCACTGGGAAGCGCTGTGGGGGGCACGGCCTAGAAGGGCACAGGTGCTGTGCCTCCTCCCTACCTCTGCCTGGACCCTTCTGCTTGGACCACTCTGCTTCCATCACTGTGCCCTCTGCCTTGTAGCCTGCAGGTGTGGGCTTACGGACTATAGCGTGCAAAGCAATACACCTCCCATCCTCTAAATCCCAGTACTCTCCCAGGCACAGGTAATGGCTGAAACAGTTTTTACCTCTTTCTCAGGGCCATGTCTGCAATCAGTTTATAATTTTGAGAAATATGACAATCTAGTATTAGCTGGGCTGTGGGGAAAGCAGTCATTCATCCACCCCTAAAAATATACTGAGTGGGATACAGTCAATTTTAATCTTAAATATTTCATAATTTCCCTATTGCTGTTAAACCTCCAGCAAAGAACCAGAGACAGCGGGATAAATTACTTTCCACCTATAGAGAAATAACACCTCACCTTTCACTCTAAAACATCTACAAAGAAAAAAAATCACCAATAACCAAACAGAGGTAACTCAGTGTGACAGAAAATGATAACCATGAAAGAGAGTCCTCCCCAGAGAAGAGATGTGGGGCACACAGCTGCCAAACTCAGATGACACCACTGGTCCAGGTAATCACTCTGTCAGTCCTATTTCAAAGCAGTCACCTTGGAACTCAGAAAACAGAACACTACCCCACAGAGTAAAACCTGCTCTTGTATGTCGTCCTCACAGCAGCGTCCTAGGCACTGGGAAAGGCAAGGACAATTTGGCGGTTTTCAAGAAGCACATCTGGACATTCACGGCTCACAAGCAGGCCACGGGCCACACCTGGAGCTATGCATGGTGAGACCACAGGTCAAAAGGATTTCTGGACCAAGCAAGGATTACACAGACTGATCATCCTAGGATCGGTGCATACTTGGGAATGCTTAGGAATCTACGGCTTATGTTATCCAGCAGCACAACTGCAACTTACATGGCTTACACCAGCAGAAGAGAAGTCCTCAAAAAGAGAAGCCTCACAGCTTTACCACTATCTAACAGAGAAAGCTACTCTCTCATTATCCTCCTGAAACCAACTCTCTAGCCACTTAGCACCCAAACTTACCAATGCATTACACAGATTATTGGCCCCCCTTAAACCATGTTCTGCACCACTGCTCATTTGCCCCCGGGCCCTGGTGCAGCCTCTACCCATGGAACCTGACCCTCTAGGTAAGGAAACAATCTCCCCCAGAGCCACCTACAAACCACACCTGCCAACCCACTGAAAGCCCCAGCCCCAGAGCTAGGGGAGGAAGACCATCTGCGGTAGAAAGTTGTCCCTGGAAACGTAGAGTGGAAACAGAACTGGTTCAAACAAGATAGAGAAATAAAGGTAACTACTGGTGTAATTATAATTAGACTGTGAGCCTTGTAAAATAGTGGAAGGGAAAAGCAAATAAGCACAGATCGTGAAACAATGACAGCAAATAAAGGGAAGAGTTACGTGTTAACAGACAAGAATTCAAGACAAATAGTTCTAAATGAGCACAGAGAACTAATTAAAATCACTATGACTAAAGCTAAGTAAGTGAAACTAGTAGTGTCTGTCTGGATGACAGGCACAACTCACAATCAACATCCTTTATGAACTCAATTAGAATCAAAATGTTTAAAGCAAAAATGACTGGAAATGCAGAGGGGAGCAGAGTGAGGTTACTGATGAGAAAAACCTCAGGGGACCCAGGCTAAGGACAGCACTACACAAACACAAACACCTTGGTGCTGTGCTCTGTTCCAAGCGCTTACAACCATGTCCTAAACATTTACAAATAACAGCTAAAAACTTAGACTCTTACAAATAGAAGCCGTGTGACCCACATTATCTGAAAACAATGCAATAAAATTAGAACCTGTATAAGTTTATACTCCATACCTCTAAGACCAAAGAGGCAATCAACTTCAACCCTAACTACTTACAAAGTAAAGAAGTTTAGGTTATAGCCAAGGCTGTATTCCAATGTAAATTAATAACCCATTTGTGGGCTGGCCAGCAGACTAAAGTGCCTGGATCCCTGGTGTGCCTTGCCAGCCCTGCCCACAGGGTGTGTGGAGAGGCGATTGAGACCAGGCATGGTGATGCACAACTGTAATCCCAGCACTTGGAAGGCTGAAAACATGAGAATCATGAGTCCGATCTACATAGTGAGACCCTGTAGATCCTGTCCTATATACAGAAATAATAAAAAATAAAAATATATAACCCATTAGTTGTGCTTACATTATTAACCAAATAAGCAGTGAACAAGCACTTGACTCTCCGAGTGAGGAACAAATAAAGGTACAAAGAGGCAACAGTGAATCAGTCACCTGTCCAGGAAGAGACCCAGCAAGTGAAGACACAAGTCTTTCCTAAGGCAGCTGGGCAAACCTGTGGCGGCAGGAGTCTAGGCACACTGACCTGATGAGGGCCTGCAGGATGTCGGCCCTGCCCACCCGCGAGGCATGGTACACGGGTGTGCTGCGGTGGTGCCGGCTCCCGTTGGGGTCAGCACCAGCCTCCAGGAGGATCTGGGTGCTCTCCAGGTGCCCGTTCACTACAGCCACATACAGGGCAGTCTGCCCCTTCACATCCACCAGGTCCACCTCAGCGCCCTTCCGGATGAGGAAGTCTACACAGTTGCCATGGCCCGCAGTGGCTGCAATGCGCAGCGGCGTGCAGGGCAGCCAGCCACAGCACCAGACGGACTTCTCATTGATGCGGCTGCAGGGGACAAAGGACAGGCATGACAAGTAGTCGCAGCTCTGCCTCCCAACACTGGGGGCAGTCACTTAGGTCAGTCATACTCAGGTCTAACAAGGTCCCCAATCGCCCTTCTTTCTGAAGCGTTCCCCATCTTCTTGCTGGACCCACCAGGGCAGGCTCTAAGAGTCCCACTCCAAGACAGGGAAACCTGAGGCTCAGGCAGGAAGATCAGCACCAGAACTGAGACCTCAGACTCTGAGCCTTCCTGAGCGATCCCCCCTCCTCTCCAGGGCTCTGGAGGGCTGGATGGGCAGCATGAAAGGTGAGGAGCTGGGCCGGGCCCCAAGGCCCCTCCCCAGGGTCACCTGTGGAGGCCTAAGGCTGGGGTTCTTTGTGGGCCTCCTCCTTCTTGACATGATTCAGTGACCACCACACCCCCTGGCCCAGGCCCTGGCCCTGTGAGAGCCAGGGGAATCACTACAGTGGTCCAGGAGCAGCAGCAGCAGCAGTGCGCGGCAGCAGCAAGACACTACCTAGCACCAGCTGGTGGGGAAGGAATCCACAGACTGCAGACCAACCCTTTCGTCACCAATGATGCTGCCAGAAAAGACGAAGGTGAATGGCGGGGCTGCACTGGAACCAGGTCCCCTGGCCACACTACATGACCAGCTCCTGAGCTCTGGTGGGGCTTCTTTGGGTTCCTCCTTGTCCATGAACCTCCGCTTGGCAGGGCCACATGCTCACCTCTGGTAGCTCTCCTCCTGCAACAGACTCCTAAGCGTCTGCAGGTCCCCCACATAGGCTGCATCATGGAGTCGCGTGTCCTCACAGTGCTCCAATGGGTGGTCACAAAACTGCTCCCTCAGCCACTCCTTCAGATGAGGACCTGCACTGAAGAGAGGGGCTCCTGTCAACACAGGGACCTGCCCACAGCCACTACCTGGGGGCACCACCTGCTGCAAGCCTCCTCTGCCAGCGCCAAGATCCAGGCTGTGGTGCTATTTACCACACTAGCACAGTCCTGACATCAAGCACTAAATACTGTTAATGTAAAAGAGGGTTGGACCCAGGAAGAGCAAGCCACCCTACTTCACAATATACTCCAAGATATTAAATAGTGACCAAACAAATAAGGCCTGCATCCAAAAAATACCTAGCATGTAAAAACTTTAACTGATCTCAAGAATATCAGTACATATTTAAAAACTGGGAAACATGAAGTGCAAGGTCCTGGGTCCAATTCCAGATACCAAAAAAAAAAAAAAAACAATACAAAACAAAACCCTGGGAAATATAAAAAAGAATCATCATCATCTCCTTCAGTACAAAGAGACATCTGATGTGTCAAAGGCCAGCCAAGGGCCAGATGGCCATGGTGGTGCACAACTGAGACTGGAGGATCACAACTTGCGGCTCAGCCTGAGCAATTTAGAGAGACCCTGTTTCAAAAATAAAATTTTAAAATAGGGCTGGGAATGTAGCTCAATGGGAAGGGAGGGAATGAGGGAAGGACAACTCACCCCCTAGTTTTCTTCTCTCTCTTGTTATCTCTGTCACTCTCTTGTCTTTCTTTGTGGTCCTAGAATTGAACCTTTGAGGACCATAGCATGTGGGAGGCTTGGCTCCCCAAGGTGGCAGTCGCGGGAGACAGTGTGGACCTTTAAGAGGTGTGGCCTTGAGGATAATTGCAAGGGAGGGTCCAGCCTTCAGAGGGACTGAGGTATGTATTTCCCTGGGACCCTGATTAGCTCTTGCTGGTAGCATTACAGGATCCCAAGCCCAGCCCTCCACTTCTAATGTCTTGTTTGATCTGATAATGAGCACCTCACCACTGCTAACTCCTAGGAGGTGACACAGAAAGAAGCCCCCTCACCAGAGCCTACACCATGTTCTGTCTCCAAGACTGCAATAATCCTCTTTATAAAGTTAGCCTGCCTCCGGCATTTTATAAAAAAAATGAAAATGGACCAATACAAACAGTAAAGCTAACACGGTAATCCTGTGCTGTGCAAAAGTTACGTGTTAATAAACAGGAAAACTAAAATACACACATATAAATCAATCCTAAATCTTGAGGGTACTTGACTGACTTTATCAGGTACAAAAGTTACATTTCTTGTTATATAGGTCTTGCCTTATCTTGGTCTTAACCACCCAGAAGAAAAGTATAAAAACGAGGTATATAAAGTAAAGCCATATTAATATGATGAGCTGTAAAAGGCTCAAGTCAATAACTTCTGAGGGTAACCCACTAATATTATAGACTGCTAGACAGAGTTGGATTGTTTAGCTGAATTCAAACACCTATAATATTTAGATGCCAATAGAATATCCACCTCCGACAGGACTAAACAAAAAAAAGGGGGGATACAAAGGAAAGATCATTTTGTATTTATATATACAAAATAGGACAGATATACAGCTACTTTCGCTTAATTTGATGAGGTGTACTAATAGTGTTTGGACAGGATATCCTGTCTGCTTCTTGTACTATGGATAACCACTAAGAAGATGACAATGTACAATGTATTGATTCTTAAAACTGTCCTATTAATCAGCTTTGAAACTGTCTCATATTTATTTCTCAATAAAATTTATATATATACATGTATATGTATATATATGTAAATATCTAAGTCTATCTTGCCCTGTATGCTGAAAAACAATAAAAACACTAGAGTAAGGAGAAAGACCACACCAGATGCTAAGATGAGACAATTTAATAGGAGAAATTTTAAATGTTACCAATAAACAAAGTTTAATAATCTCTTCAGGGTTTTTGATAAAAATACTCTAAAATTTATTTGTACATATAAGTGAGAATAACTTTTTTAAAGAACAATAACAAAAAGAAAGAAAGAAAGAAAGAAAGAAAGAAAGAAAGAAAGAAAGAAAGAAAGAAAGAAAGAAAACGCCTGCAAGCAGGCGCAGGAGCTGGGGTTCGATCCCCAGGCCTGTCATGCTGGCCCGCCTCTGGGGCACACTAAGACGGCAATTGAGACTGGGCATGGTGGTGCTCACCTGTAATCCCAGCTCTTGGACAGCTGTAGGCAGGTGGATCACTACAGGTCCGATCTAGTAGTGAGACCCTGAACAGCCTGCAGACCCTTCCATAAAAATACAAAAAAAAAAAAAAAAAAAAGATCTACTATACTGGGTAACAGTATAGTATCAGAATACAAACAGGAACATAGTCAACTGCCCAGAAAGGCATTAGCATTATAATTCAATTTGCAATAAACCAGCACCAGTATCAGTGGATAAAAAGTATACTCAACAAATGGTACATGTAATCAAATACCTGTTTACTGGGCTCACACCACAGCCAAATCATACACATCCCAAAATACACTCCAGAAGATGAAAGGGCTCTGTGCAGGCAATTACACAGACAAGTACACATAGAGATTCAGCTTAGACTTACTGGATCAAGTCCTCACCCTGCCGTGCAACCAAGCATACAGTTACAAAGCACTTCTCTCACAAGTGGGCTTTTTCCAGATGTAAAAGTTGCAGTCAAAGATAACTGCAAGTTGGAGCTTCTGATCAGCTGCTTCAGTGGCAACATGATTACCCCAGGGCGGCACTCAAGCCTAACCTTCCCCCTCCACCGCAAGAGGGAAACAGTAAATAACAAAACAGCACCGTGAAGGGTAAAAAAGGAGCCCTGTGCGGTGCGAGGCCTGTGTTTCTCCCACAGGACCCCTCTCCACTCCGGGAAACAACGTCCATTCCTACTTTCCAACCCCTTACTCTTTCAGGAGATGGCCTGGCAGACCCTGAGATCCTAGCTATCCTGGAGTCAAAACCAAGGCAAACACAGGCCAGGATGGCAGGGATGTGTCCAGTTTGTCCTGTCCAGTATGGTCTCCCAAGCTAGGTCCAGCAAGCAGTAATTCTCAACGTTTGTTAAATGGAGGGAGGGAAACAGGTCTTTTTAAAGGCTACCTGCACCGTCTCACAAGTCTGGGGTTTTCGCACATTTAAGAGTCTGAGTCACAAACGTCGCTGTTTCTAAGTAGTGACAAACTCTTGGGCAACGCTCCAAAAGCACAGGTGGGCACGTAAAGCACCTGGCACACACGGCGAGCTGGGAAAGCACCCTGGGCAGCGGGAACCCGCCGCTCCGGGCGACCTCGCCGCGTCCGCCGCCGCAGGACCTCGTGGCGACGCCAGGTCGACCGAGGCTGTTCTGGGGGGCAGCGTGCCCCTTCCTCGCCGCCGGGCGTGCTGTGTCACTGCGAGCTCGGCGTCCGGGTCCGCGGCGCGGGTGCGGGACGGGACGGGACGGGGACCGGGACGGGGACGGGGACGGGGCGGGGCGGGGACGGGGCCGCGGCGGGAGGTACCTGGCCGACCGCGGCCTCCCGGGACCCGAGCGCTCACAGACGCAGGAGGACCCGTGTCCCATTTCCCTGGAGTCCTGGTAAACCGCACTGGCTCCCGGGACAGCGGTTAAACGGCCACTTCCCCGGGGAGCGCGCCGGGAGCGGCGCAGCCTCGAGCGGACGTGGACCCGGGCGCGCGGCGCTGACAGACCCGGCGCGGCTCCCGCGGCTCCGGGCCCCGACCCCCACCGCCCAGCGGCTGCGCCCACGGTACCTGCGGGCCCAGGCCCTGCCCGCCCGTCCGGGCTGCCGCCCTCCGCCATGAGTGCGCCGGCCCCGACCCCGGGCTCCCGCGGCCGGAAAGAGCGCGGCCCGTGACCACTTCCGGAGCCGCAGACAGGCCGGCCTCGCCGGGGACGCGACTTCCGGCGCAGGCGCCAGGGCTCCACTTCCGGCCTCCCTGTCTGACCTGAGTGCGAAAGCTCTCTGAGGAGTCCCGTCACGCTTAGACTTCTCAAGTAAGGAGCAGAGGAGTCTGGGAAATCCCGCCCTACCCGGGGGCGGAGCCTGAGTTCGTGCCCTGGGACCTCTGGTTGGCCAGGCTAGGCTCCGCCCCAGATAGGGGCGTGGTCTCTTAGGTCAAATCTGAGCGTGGATACCAGCCCTGCTGAGGTCCTGCAGCATAGCACCGTGCTCGGCATAGTTGATTTGTAATTACAGCACTCTTGGAGTTTGAGTCAGTAGGATCACCCAGTTTGAGCTCAACGTGATAATTTGGCAAATTAGTGGAAACTTGTCCTAAAATTTAAAAAGTTAAAAAAGGGTTGGGGATGTTCGGGGTTCAAACTCCCGTGTATCAGGATAGATGGAGGGATGGATGGATAATGGATGGATAGATGGATGGACGGACGGACGGATGGATGATGGATGCATGGACGGACAGATGGATGGTCGGACGGACGGATGGATGATGGATGGTGGATCGATGATGGATGGATGGATGATGGATGGATGGATGGATGGATGATGGATGGTGGATGGATGGTGGATGGATGATGGATAGTGGATGGATGATGGATGGATGGATGGATGATGGATGGATGGACGGATGGACGGATGGATTGATGGATGGATGATGGATGGATGATGAATGGATAGACGGATGGATGGATGGATGGTGGATGGATGGATGATGGATGGATGGACGGATGGATGGATGGTGGATAGATGGATGATGGATGGATGGACGGCCCTACCTAGCCACAGCCAGTGCTGCAGCACGCAATGGGGAGAGTGTGGGGCTTCTGACACTGTCCTGGGGAGGAACTCGGCAGAGTACGGGTCCTAATACAAGGGCTCCCTCAAGCTGGAGGGAACTTACGTGGGCACAGGAAGCCCTGCAGGAAGAGGTTGACCCTCTGTTGTCACAGCGCCACCTCCAGGAGGAAAAGTCCTGAGTGGCAGCCAGCCTCCAATCCAGCCTGGGTGGGCCACACGGGGGGGGGGGGGGGGGCCTGCACAGGTGCTGGGCCTTGATAAGGACACTGGTGACAGTGCATGGTAGGACTGGGTGTATCTGGCCACAGCTCCAAACACTGCATGCGTGGAGGACTGAGCAATAGATAACGGCACAGCACTTCTTGCAGCACTGGCGCCCACCTCTGAGCTACCCTGCAACCACTACCTGGAGAAGGGCCACCGGGTGACAGGAACTAGACACAGCAATCCCGCCTGAATCCCAAACAGAAGGCCGAGGAGAAGCCAGGCTCAGGGAAAAAGCTGAAGTGCTCAATTTTAGGTACACTTTACCACGATTTTTTTTGAAGATCCCAATGGAGTTGGTATGGGCATCAGCGACACAGAGGTCCCTGCCAACAGTCTCCATCCAGCGCTTCCTCTCACCAGAAAGTCACCAGTACCTCCTGCTGATCTGGCTGTTCAGGCCTCCACTATGGCTGTCTACTCCTTGTCCCCAAAAGAACTGGCCCAGTGTCCCTGGATGGTCCCACCCTGGACTCTATAATAGTCTCCTTAATAACAAAAATAAATGTCTGCTTGAGGAGGCCCATGAAGAGATCCCAACCTGCTTTGCTCTGCCCACCACAGGAGCTGGGGACACCCTGGGAACACTATGGGAGCAGGTGCATGGGGCTTGGAGCCTGCATCCCACAGCTGCACGCAGAGAGGACTCCGCCCTGCCCGGTGGCTCTGGGAATCATGTAGCAGGTGTCACCTGGGCAGAAGCCTGATGGCGTCAGCATGGGACCAAACTCCTCAGCCCTCCCTTCTTTTGAAAGAGTCCCTCAGAGAAAAACGGGAGCGTGGCAGATGTCCCTGGGAGCCCACAGGGCTGGGCTTTCCCCTGAAAGCTTCGGATCAGCCCTTGGTGGCAGGTGCCATCCCCCAGGGGGATTGGGGACCCCAGGGAAGTTGGGACCCATATCCTGTGATGGGTACGTGAATCCCCATGCTAGAGCCATTCCTCCCCTAGGGGTCCCCTCCCTGCCCCCAGATGGTAATGCGTCCCCCAGAGAGCTTGAAGAAGTGTCCCATGAGGCCCAGTGGGGTCAGCCTACACTTGGCCCAAGCCCTGCCCCGCCATGCTCCACAGGTCTCTGTGTCCCTCAGCCTCGGTCTTCATGCCTGGAGCAGGGAAGAGGAAGGTGATGGTGTCCTCTCTACCCCACCAGCCTGAAGACAGCCCTCCCAGCTACTTCCGGATGTGGC